GCAAGTAATTTTAGTTCTGTGGTCATACAAATGTTTGCGTCACTAGCAAGGCCTTCGTGGTTTTATATAAATCAAACCTTAGTATGTGTTTTTATTGAAAACTTTACTATCAATAGTTAGGTTTTAACTTTTCAATCAACTTATTGTTTTATGTGTTTCCTTGAACAAATATATGGTATTACTATAATTTTAGAAGTATACGATTATTTTCTATGTTTAGTATGACTTATATGTTGCACGTGGTAAGATATATAATAATTTTTAAGATTTGCCTTTTTGGTTAGTAAGTGAAGTAGGTAATAAACTCTATTTCTTTTTATTTCCGTTCATATAAAGCTGAGGTATATTTGAGCTTATAAATTAATCAAAGTATATACTGAAATATTAAATTAACAAAAAAACATAGATCCGTTTCACCTTGAAATGAATTGGAAGCGAGGTGTCAACGCTAGCTGGTTATAACAATATTTAATAACTGATAGTGACATAACTAGTATAGTTGTAAATTGACGAGATTTAAATCTCGTTACCTCAACTGACGCGACCTTCGGGACATCAAATGAAAATCAACTCTAAAATTATTATATGTGGGTATAAAATCAAATACGAAAATATATGTAGTAAATATATTAAATAACAACTGATAACATTTCATGTGCACTTGGCCCATATTGCCATTTTCGTCACCCGTCCGACCTTATGAGGAATAAAATCGTGACATCAGAATTATTAATGTTGGACATTTTATTAATAATGACACAATACAATGAAATGTACCTACGCCATTTTAAACACATAATTTGTTTCTCCATTCACATACAAATACAGCGTTCTTTTTTTAAATTTAAAAATGACTTAAAACATTCATCATTATCAAAATTGATATGCAACCTGTTTGAACACAACCTCATTTCAAAATTAATAAATTAAAAAATTCAAATTTAGAACATCCTTTCAACATTCGTTAAATGCAAGTTATAATTGGTGACGTCATCGCCCTCTCAGTAATTAGCGACGGTCGATTATAAACATTTCTTTGATTCGGCTATCAGATGAGTCAACGCTCGACCATCTTTCTGTTTGAAGTGAATTCTCTTAATATTAAGTCATTCGAAACTTAAAAATTTATATTTAGGAGTATTTTTCTTTGTTTTTTATTTTTAATTAAAACCTCTTTGGTCTGAACAGCTTAAACCTCTTTGATGTGAAATAAAAAAAAATAATAACATTTTAAAATTTTTGTATTCCATTGGACTGTACTGAATTCTGAATAGTTAAAGACTTTTTGAGAATTATTACTTTTTACTATTATAATTAAAACAAATGTCATTCTTCACTTTGACATTTAATGAAGCTACTGTCAAAATCAATTACTAATGTCAAAAATCATATACCTACATACATATTTAGCATAAATGAGTAACATGCAAATATCTTCAAAATGCTTACCATATTATACAAAGAAACCCGAATGTTGGGTCCTTAATTAGCGATCATAAAGATCTTTGTTCCTGTTTAATTATAAGAGTGCGAGTGAGACGGCTGGTATGAGTGAGAGAGAGGGGTGGAGTGCAAAAATAAATGAAAAGGCGAACCACGGAGATGATGTCATGCATGAGGCGAATAGAGGTCAAGTACAGTGAGAGATTCATAACAGAAAAAAACGAAAAAAAGCATTATCGTTGTACTAAAAAAAAACAAAAGTAAACTTGTCATCAGCCTATCAGAACCCACTGCTGAGCCTCTTCTCACATGGAGAAGGTTTGAGTAATCACCACGCTTGCTCAAGACGGGTTGGTGATTTCAAACTTATAATTGTGAAACTATAAGTCCATATTCCCTCACGATGTTTTCCTTCAGTCTGTCAGTGATGTCTAAATACTCTCAGATAGTACATATGACTCCGAAAAATCACATTGGTACTTGCCAGGTTTGAACCCGCGCCCTCGGCAACGAGAGGCGGGCCCCTTAACCACTACGCCACCACTGTCGTAAATTAAACTTATTACCGATAAAATATTATTTAAATTACCAATAAATAATTCGATATTACAATAAATGGGCATTATGCGTGGGCGTCTCAATAGTGACGTCATAGCGCCCATTCTTACGCCACAAACCCTTTACAAGTGACATACCAACCTCACGTACGCATACCAGATGTATGAATACATTATAATTATTTAATAAACAATTACAATGTATTAAATTCAAATGTATTCCGCTTTATTCATTGTATATGAAAAAAAAATACAATTCACTGGAAAATGAACTTAATTGTATGAACATAAAGCTTACAATGCATTAAAATTACGCCTTATATGTCACTAAGAAATTTTTCTTTGTAACATTTCAATTATATTATGGTCTTAAAACTTTGAAGGTCCCTGTCACTAGGTCTAACATGGTAATGGTCTAGACTCTACAGTCTAGACTGTAGACTAAGTCTGGTTGTTGCAACTATATTGAAATTTCCGCATATCTATAAAGAAATTACTTCATCTATTAAGGATTTCAACGAGTATGATAATTTTATTAAAGGAAAAACATCTCAAGTAATAAAGAGTTAATACATAATATATATTATGTAAATTGTGATTATTTATGTATATAAAATTTATTATTAATATTTAATTTATTAATATTGCAAGGTTTAATTTAAACACAGACAATATAGAAGCTCTTAGTTATAAAACAAAAATATTTTGTAAGATAAATCTTAAGATATATGTTCTAACTTTTAAGATAAAAATTAATCCCTACTAATATTTTAAATGCGAAAGTAACTCTGTCTGTCTGTCTGTCTGTTACGCTTTCACGCCTAAACCACTGAACTGATTTTAATGAAATTTGGTACAGAGATAGAGGTGACCTTGAGAAAGAACATAGGATAGTTTTTATCCCAGGCTTTTCAAAGGATCTCTTGGAAACGCGATATAACCGAACTCCACGCGGGCGAAGCTGCGGGCGGAAAGTTAGTATTATTATATAACCTATACTTTATTGATACTCCTCCATTGTATAGAAATTACTCACTTTCAATGTTAAAGGTGAAATGGAATAGCATTATCTATATAAAATGAACTTTAGCTGCATGTGAATAGAAATCAAATCACAATACAGTATCTGAACTAACGAGATCTTACTAACGAATTTCATTGGCACTTCTGAAATATTATAAATCTATACACAAAATTAAACTCTATGGTCATGGAATAAGGTGGAAATTTATTTGAACGTACAAATTAGTTAATAACATCAAAAATAAACTGACCGAATACTACTACATCGGTAAGAAATTTGCAGACAAAAATATTCTTTACATATTATGTATATACATGTTTTTGCTCGCGACTTTGTCCGCTTTATTTTCATAATTATAAATGACCAGACGAACTGTTTTGATTTAGAGACAGTAAGTAAACAGATTTTGGATTTTATTACCAATTTGTTTTTTGTCGAACATTTTAAAAATTATCCTATCCCTATGTCTTTTCCTTTGTTTTAAAATCTAAGTTATATCTCCACTAAGTTATAAATAGTGTAACTAACACGACTATATATATTAATTGATACTTCTTCAGAATCCTGATGAGTTATACTTAACTTTATATGCTGAGATGTTTTCTTAGGCACCAATTTAGGGCACACGTTGACATCCACACCATATTATTACGACGCTATGTTGTAGCAAATATTATTTAAAATAATATAATGCATATAAAAATATATATATTTTTATATGAAGTTAAAAAATCAAAAAATCTGTGGGATTACTATGAGTGAACGCTAATTACATTTAGCCTCAATTTTTTAATAATACATGAAAACAGCAGGTAATACGTTTTACGCAGACTCGTAATATATAGTCTTCTTTTACCTGGCAATTTCCCAGCTTTAGCCAGGGTCTGCCTTACATATTATGAATAGTTTTGGCTAATTGTTTTTACGACCGGCCGCCTGCCTGATATCAACCCTCTTTTGGGAATGCATTAATCAGTGATGTCTAAATACTCTTAGAAAGTACATATGACTCGGAAAAATCACATTGGTACTTGCCAGGATCGAACCCGCGCCCTTGTGCATGAGAGTATGTATATAGTATTTTTGTAAATTGTAACACTTTAGGCGATACCTGTATTCGTAATAATTCTCATTATACGTGTAACATAAAGTAAAACCCGAAGGTTAAAACGTTTTCAATTAATTAATCACTTCTGATAGAAAAAATTAGATGTTTAAGCATGAAAACATTAAACTATTAGTATTATGGTAAATGACGATCTCGTATTCAAGGTATTATTGCAATTATTACTTTCGTAACCTTACCACAAGTTTCTGTCATCACTAAATACGTAGCGTCAGCAGTTAATACGTTAATACTCGCTATCGTATGAAAGTAACAAGAACTTGCTTTATATATTGTGAATTAATAAAACCTTTTTTAAAATAATACAATGCCATAACAATAATATTATGTATCTAAAACAAATATTAAATTTGACTTTTATCTTATTTTATTTGAATATTTTCTTAAATTCTTTCCGTTAAAATTTATTTTTCTTAGAATTTTAGTTCATATTACCATACAAAGGGTTCGCCGATAACATTGACCATAAATATCTTGAGAGCGGAAGGTGACGTCATATGTGTTACATAAATTAATGTTTTAGAGTTTAGATTAATTATATAAATGTTGAACTACCTACGTATTAAATATATAATTTTTATTAATTTTTTTCTATTAATGGTCGGTGTTTCTCAATGTTAGGTACATTGTATTATTAAAAGATAATGTTTTGACCTTATATATATATATGTGTGTGTGTCGTAAGTCGTTATATCGTCATACATATATAGCATTAGTTTATGCTATTTAATATTTATTGCAGGCAAAATATACGTGTAATACACGAAAATAATAATTATTTCTAAAAAGAAATTATGTATTTATTTTATTAAAATTTAATATATGTATGTAATTGTTTCAGATATAAACAATGGCCACCAAGTCTTACAGCAAGCACAAGGAGTATAAGGAATACTCCTCAACCAGAGGCACTGTCCCTTACACTGACGAACAATTCGGTAAATATATATATATATGTATGTATGTATGTTTGTTACAGCTTATCTCAGGAACTCGCGATTGATTTTGGACATACTTGTGTGTGACTTAACATTCACCCATTCAAGTTAAATGATAATTTTTACTTAGAGGTGTATTTAATCAAAAGCAAAATCTTTATTAATTGATACGCAGATAAAACTGGGAGGTTTATTTGTATATTATAAAGAAAGTATCATAATGTACTTTGATATTTTCATATAATGGTTGTATTTGTTATATATACATACGGTTCAATACATCAAAGCCTTACTTAATCTTCTTCTTCCTGGCAACCTCCCAGCTTTAGCCAGAGTCTACCGAGCCTTACTTAATAATAAGTAAAACCAAACGGCCAACCTATCTTATGTGTCTATAGAAATCATTACGCCTATACAAATTCTCATAGAAGTATATATGACAGATTACAAAGTTCAGTTCAGGTAGTGTACTTTAGACACTTGGTGAGTTGTTGAAACGATTTAAATCAAGAGCCACATTAAATAAGCGAGGCCATCTATCATCGTTAAAAATTATTTCCATGGCATCATCGTCTATTTAAACCATGGTACACAGACGTACTATTAGTAATAAAGCATTTTAAAATTCTATACTTGACTTGTATACAGCATAAGTGAAATTTCATTTTGTATTTCCTTGATAAGTAATTTGTACATGAAGAATTTGGACAATAATGGTATTGTGTTTGACGAACAGTGGCACTTTGTTAAATAAGTTGTTTAATGACTAAGACTTCGCGAGTATTCATTTAAATGAAAATAATATTATTCGGATTATGTACTACGAGTATTTTATTATTATTAAAAAACTACATACTCCCGATGTTTCAGCTACTTTTCAGCAATCGTGAGCAATCCCTACTAATATTATAAATGCAAAAGTAACTCTGTCTGTCTGTCTGTTACGCTTTCACGCCTAAACCACTGAACTGATTTTAATGAAATTTGATACGGATATAGAGTCGACCTTGAGAAAGAAAATAGGATAGTTTTATTATATCCCAGACTTTGGAAGGTTCTCTTGGAAACGCGATATAACCGAACTCCACGCTCGTAAAGCTATATATCCGTCTGTGAATAAAATACTCGTAGTCATCTGAATAATATTAGTTTCATTTAAATAAGTTGTTTGTCAGTTGTAAATGTAAAGTAAGGTTCAATTTTCAGATATGCTGAAATCCGAACTAATTCCTAAGGGTAGCAAGTTGGACTCTCTAGGAAGGAATGCTGTGGGCACGAGGGAGTATCACTACGAATACAAGGAGGAGAAGCTTCCCGCTGGAAAGTATGATAGGAAGGACCTGCACACCGTCGAGGTACGTTTAAAACCAGAAGTTCATGATTATTCCTCTATTAGTTTTTGCTTCTAATCTAATTATTCCTTATAGATACGTTTCCTCTTGAATTTGTATGGAGTTTTCCCTAAGTTTCTGATCTATGTTTTGTGATTGGAACTTTATATTCCAGGAATACACGATCCCCCCAAAGACTGCCCCAAAGTCGGAGACCAGCAGTTATTACTACGAGCGTGAGGAGAGAGAACTACCCTCCATCACTACTGGCACCAGGACGTACAACTACGAAACTACTGGCTCATCACCAGGTACTAATGATTTGTATTAATGACTGCTCATACAGAGGCAATGGTGGAAATTGCTTATAGGTTCTGATTGAAGGGAAGGGAATATGGTCATTTGACAGGAGAAAACAATCTGGGACGCCGAGCAAAATCGTAAATAAAGAAAATATTGGAGTGATTTTAGTGAAACGAATTTATTTTATGACTTCATTTACAGACAAGTTGGCTTATAAATCTATTCGATTGTAGTAATATAATCCCATTAACTATAACTTTTACTTGTAAGCTAAGTTTTTCCTACATTTATATATACAAATCGACGGATGCTTGTACAAATTTTTATATAAAAATATTGTATATGACGAAGGAATAAGGAATGGCATTCAAATGACAAATAATATTGCAGGTTATACGAAAGTGAAGAGCTCCAAAGTGACTAAAGACTTGACTCAGAACGTGGAGGAACTCGACAGCTTGTTGGATGATCTGCAGAAGGACCAAGAGAGACAGCTGTATAAGAGTGAGACATATGATAAATAACATTTAAACCAACATAAGTAGAAACCTCTCATCATTCAATGGATTCACCGTGTGTGTGTCGGGTCCGTCGTTGTAGTGAGAGGAGCTTCAACAGTGACTGGGACTTGTGATCCAGGTGTAGGTTTAAGGGACCTTATCTAACACTCGTTAAATGCTCACCTCCACTGTCCAAGCTCCTCTCTCTAACTAACAAAATTTGAAACGAACCGCATAACTGATAATTAGATTCATATAAAAATATATCCGTTAAATATGCAGTTGTTCATGAATTAAATTGAATTAATTGAAAGTTAAATTGTTGTTAAAATTTTATTAAGTAGTATTATTTGAGATATTGCTTACAAAATATACACCAGACTTTAAAATATTTATCAAATACTAATCTAGATGGAATTATTTTTACTTATTAAAATAAAATTACTTTTCTTAATTCCTGAACAACTCTATATTCAAAGTACATATTTTTGTTCTCCAGGTGGATACACATCAGATACAGCTGAGAGCACATCATTCGATTATAGGAAAGGGTAAGTGGTGTATGATCCTTTACTTAATACCCTCGCCATAATATTGTTATTAAAGTAGCAAATATAATGATAAAGAAAACAATAAATATCTGCAAATACTAGAGTTATTTAGACATTTTAAATTAGATTTAGTAACCATTATTTAAAATAAGCCTCTAGCCCAAAACCAACATAAGTTTTGTGTATGAGTTGCATATATGTACTTACTACTAGGTCAGTATTATTAAATAACTAGCTTTTGCCGCGACTGCGTCCGCGTGGAATAGTGACTTCCGGCAGATTTTTGGTTCTTCCCACATAGTTCCCGTTCTTGCGGGGTTTTCGGAATGGTCGAGTTCCCGTAGAATTTTCAGGATAAAACCTAGTTTTTTTTTATTCACAATGAAGTACTCTTAACCAACAACATATTTATTTCTTTATTGAATAAAGATTAATATTATTATGTTGATACAACTTAAACAAATTATTTCGACCAAATTAGGTACCATAAAAACGATTTTTGTGAGTTAATCTTAAAAGATAGACATATACTGTCGCGGACTGTTTTTTAGATCATAAAAAGAGCTATTATTCTTTAATACATACTTTTTGTGTATCTTGAACCGTTTTCACGGCGCACGCAACGGAAGGTTTTAAAGATGAACTAATTTCTCCCGTTTTTTACACATTTACCACTATATCTTTGCTCCTATTGGTCGTAGCTTGATGTTATATAGCCCACAGCCTTTCACGATAACTGGACTATCCAACATAAAAAGAATTATTCAATTCGAACCAGTAGTTTCGGAGATTAGCGCTTTCAAACAAACAAACAAACAAACAAACTCTTCAGCTTTATAATATTAGTATAGATATGATGTAGGTATGAAGGTAACAATTTATTATATTTATTTCTGTCATTAAGTCTTGGTTTTACCACACTACATATATAAGAATTTAATATTTTTATTTGTTAGTATAATTACAAAGAACTTTTCCTGGCCATGACATCCCATAAGTTATTATAGAACAAATATAATTTACATATTTAAACATTTCCATCAGATACATATCATGTATGTAATTCCTGATTTTCATATATAATGTTCCAGGACCCCAGCGAAGGCCCCATCCAGCGGGTATTCCACCCTCCAACGTGAGGCTCGTTCTGAGTCCTCGTGGGCCTCCGCCCCCGTCCGCGCTGAAGTGAGGCAGGAGGTGTACCGCGAGGAGAAACATGGTATAACATATAAATAACTATACAGTTAACAATATGTGATATATATTAAACTTAGCTCTATATGTAAATACTAGCTGCGCTCCCCGGTGTCACTCGCGGATTTCCCGGATTTTCGGGATTTCCGGGATGTAAAGTAGCCTATATGTTATTCCTGGACGTCAGCTTCCTGTATACAAAATTTTATCAAAATCAGTTCAGCCGTTTGAGAGTCAAGAAGTAACAAACATACACACACACTCACAAACTTTCACAATTATAATATTAGTAGGACTACCAAAATGTACCACAAAAATGCCTAAAATCACCAATACATTCTAAAAGATACTGTAAATGTATGTCATCTTAAAGGATTTCCAAAATATAATAATTGAAACCAGAAAAAAATCATCACAATCATAAGTCAACCCGTTCTTAAGTAAGCAATAGGGTTATCGTAGAAAAAAAATATATATATATATATACAGGGTGACTGGTGAATTACTATCGATACTTGAGGACGTGATATTTGACGATCATATATGACAAAATAAAAATTAATATACAGTAGGACCTCGATTATCCGGACTAATTGTTGTCGGTAGGCATCCGGATAATTGAAAGTCCGGATAATCCAATATATGAAGAAAAACGGGCTTTTTGCACATGTATGTACATATGTAGTCTGTACCATACATATGTAATGTTAGGTGTTTATTTAAAACAACAAATACATATGAGCGAAAATCAACGTTTATTAAGAAATTGTACATAATGTACGTATAATTTGCTTACAATAATTATGTGGCGTGGCGTTATGCAAGTTCTGACATTTTAATCTTCTTCTTTCTTCTATATACTTAGACCTATATAAATGGATTGCTGTTCCTTAGTCTCGCTAAAACTCGAGAACGGCTGAACCGATTTGGCTAATTTTAGTCTTGAAATACTCCTGGAAGTCCAGGGAAGGTTTAAAAGGTGAGAAAAATTGGAATAATTGCCGGGAAAACCCTAAAAACAGCCCTTTTCTATTTCCCATACAAACGTTTTGTTGACATTAGATTTGACCACTAACTAATATGTCAATCATTCTGTTTGATTGAAATAGGAAAAACCTGATTATTTATGGCCTCTAAGACGGAATAGAGTTTGCCTGGTCAGCTATACCTACATATATTACTCTTGACCAAACTAAGGCGGACGAAGACGCGGGCAAAAACTAGTGTTAGAATAAACTCGTCACGATTGGCAGTCCGGATAATCGCGAATTCGGATAACCGAGGTCCGGATAATCGGGGTCCTACTGTAACATAAATATTAATAAACTTCTAAGTAAAGTTAACCAAAAGTTATGTAATTAATTACGCATCGTGTGAACACCCTACAGATTAGGTATACACACACACACAGGTGCGGCGGCGTGGTGTTGTATCAGCACATCGTATACATGTGTTTATTTACAGAGTCCCGTGTGATCACTGTAAATGTATGTCCCAGGTCTGAAAGGATTTCCAAAATAAATTATTTCAAACCAGAAAAAATCATCACAATAATGAGCCAAAATGTTCTTTATGGACCGGTAATAAGGTCGTTATAGAAAAAAATTTATACAGGTGTTTCTTTACAGAGTCCCGAGTGGTACCGTCCCAAGTTTCTCCGGCCGTGCCCCAGGTGGTGCCACCAGCGGTGTGCTCCCACTGTCACCACCCACCGGCCACTGGCACTGTAAGAATACATATAGGAAATAACTAATATATATAATGATAAGCTGTATAATTCAAGACACGATGGTTCAATTAACACAGTGACTGAAATGTGATATATTTGTGACAGGGTCAAATACAAGATGCTGTTGAAGAACTCATCATCTACTATTGAATTTTAATGTAAAGGTTAGGTCAGGGTATTTTCTTTTCCGAACCGGTGGTAGTGTCTCAAGTGACCATCAATAAGAAAGTGGTAATGCTTCTATATTGAATAAAGTTATTTGAGTTTGAGTATGAAAAATGCTTAACGTCGCTTTGAAGCAAATAATGAACCAATTACTTATATAAAAAACTTTTAAACTTGTATATTAGAGATACTATTACTTACTTTACAAACTTATCATACTATCTCCCGTTTTCAGTTATCTCGTAGTGGTACCCCAATGAACAAGGTGACGACCACAGTGAAGACCTACACGTACGAGGTGCCCGCGGGACAAGACCCCTCCACCCTGCCCATACCTACCGACTGTAGCGAGCACCACCACATAGAGTAAGAGAGAGTGAGAGAATGAGAGAGAGAGAGAGAGAACTACTAAACTAATTACTAAATAGATTGGTTGACATCTTCTGTATGAGTATATAATGATGATATAAAATATTTTCGTGTTTGTAATGCTCTAAAATAAAATCATATTTTTGCTTGATAAAATTGCTAGATTATTTTATATGAACCGATAGTTACATTTCAATTAAAATAGTAAATATAATAGCAGTTGCACTATACTTACAGAGATAGTATATGAAAGACGGGATTAAAGATTTCAAGCCATTCATTCATACATTCACTCAAACATTCGTTCTTTCCGTTCAGTTCCACGGTGACGTCATCCAGCACCACTTCCCCGGTGAAGCTGGTGTCTCCCGGCTGTCAGTACTGCTCACACTGTAACACACGACGGGAATACCGCGTGCAGACTGATGGTAACACTCATATATATAAGGAAATTTTATAATTTTGGTTATAATTATAATGAAAAATTTATTTTCTGCAAATATGCGTAATTATTTAAATAACTAATATTTTTTTAAGACGTGCTACGCGACTTATTTTTGATAAAAAACTACATATTCCCGATGTTTCGGCTACTTTTCAGCAACCGTGATCACGAACAGACGAGATGTGAGTTTCATTTAAATGAATAAGACTCACGAAAATTTTAGATTTCATTGATATGCCTATTTAATATAAAAAAATATCTTTAAAAATAAATATTACCTTGTACTTTTAAATAAGTGGGTTTCTCAAGGTATAAATCTGGAACCCTTTTTCCTTTGTATCTTTTTAATTGATATTTTTGTTTTAGAACACTCCAGTGAGCGTGTAGTGTACCCGCAGCCGAGCCAACCGACCAATGTAACGCTTGAACCACAGAATGGACACGGCCCTTATGTAAGATACTTTAAGATACTCAACATCCCAGAGACCAATTTACATTGGCTTACCTTAAATCTAAACAATACAGTCTATATAAATATCAGTGGTGTTCGTTTCATACACTAAATAAGTTCCTAAAAAAGCAATAGGGAACTATGCGAATTAAAATATGTAGATAACTTTTACTTTAGCCTAAAAAGAAAGAAAGATTTAAAAAATTAAAAAAATTACAAAATATTACTTCATCTTTATTTTTAAATTACCATTTTAATATTTATTTCTTAAACATATAAAAACGTATAAAAAATGAAATTTTCTAATTATGGTCAAAAGTTTGAGCGCTTTACTAAACTAATATCGTGCGCTTCGGCGAGTGCACGAGGACTCCTAATACATCTTGTATGAGATACGAATTAATACGCCTGACGCGTGAAACAAAAGATAGTTCATAGAAATGTACCGAGTAATGAGTCGGTTCTCGAGCGCCGCACGAGCGGTCGAAGGTTACCGAGAGCACCCGATGTATGACGAATTGTGCCATGATTGACATCTCGTTATGTTTTGTTGCATTTTCTAATTTTAATATTTTAGTAAAGTGCACCAGTTCGATTACTCACCAGCCGCCACTGCTGTATAGTAGACATGTTACAGGAAGTTAAAATACACGTATTTAATTCCAGGGTCCATCATACAAGTACAGCGAGACGTCCTACTCGTCCTCCAACACGACCCAGCGGTTCCCCCGCTCCTCGTCCCCCTCCCCCGGCCGCTCACCCCACTCCCCGCACCCCCCCTCCACGCACCTCTCTCCGTCCCCCTCTCCCTTCCCGCGGCCTCACACCCCCTCCCAGCAGCAACAGCAGCCCCCCAAGAGATTGGATGACCTGTTGGCTGAATTCCCGGAGACGGTGAGTTATATGTAATATATGAAGATCATGATAAGAAATATATGATGTGGCGACTTATTGAAGACTAGCTTTCTGCTCGCAGCTTCGCCCGCGTGGAATTCGGTTATATCGCGTTTCCAAGAGAAACTTTCAAGTCTGGGATAAAAACTATCCTATGTTCTTTCTCAAGGTCAACTCTATATCTGTACAAAATTTCATTAAAATCAGTTCAGTGGTTTAGCCTTGAAAGAGTAACAGACAGACAGAGTTACTTTCGCATTTTATTTCGCAATTTATATATAAAATATTAGTAGGGATTATATGATCTCTTAAATGAAACTTACATTTTTTCGGATTATACTACATGTTTACATCTCGTCTTAATGATCACGGTTGCTGAAAAGTAACCGAAACGTCGTCATTATGTAGTTTAACAAAATATATGCGTAGTATAATCCCAAAGATATTAATTTTATTTATACGAATACTCGCTTAAGTCATAATATCATTAATTGAGAATATATAATCCCAAAAATATTAATTTTATTTATATGAATACTCGCGAAAGTCTTAAATCTTATTATAATATCATTAATTGAGAATATTATTAATAAAGACCGGAATTACTGGCCGACTAGAACTTGGACTTAGATTTGGGCTTTTCCAGAACTAACATTAATACATTCTTGGAACGTACATAGAAGGTAGCCCTAGTAGGCTCTTTTCAAATTTGGTAAAGAGAGAAGCTTGTACGCTGGAGGTGAGCGTTTAACGCGCGTTAGATAGTGGCCCCTTAAACCTACACCTGGGTCACAAGTCCCAGTCACTGTTGAAGCTCCTCTCACTACAACGATGGACCCGACACACGCACCGTGAATAAATTAAATGCTGAGAAGTTTCGTCTCTCTTTATTTGTAGAAGTAATTTTCATAACTAATATCCAATTTATATACAAAAAAAATACATTATCATGTAAAATTTTTTTTACTAACCTATCATAATTCATATGATTCCCAGAGATTCCCCACCCAGCCGGACGGCGTGGTTCGTCGTAAGGTTGAAGTGACTCACGAGAGCTCCACCAGCCAGTCCAAGGACAAAGACACCCTCAAACACACCCCGCCTGTAGCTAGCTCCAAGAACGTACAGGGACCGGCTGTTTACTACCCCCCCGGACACACACCCTTCGCCAAGAAAGACAACCCCGTGGGAGGATACCAGTCTAGTGTGAGTTATCATTAATATATATCCGATTTCCGGGATGTAAACTAGCCTATGTCTTATTCCTACACATCAGCTTCCTTTATACAAAATTTTATCAAAATCGCTTCAACCGTTTGAGCGTGATGAAGTAACAAACATACACACACACTCACAAACTTTCGCAATTATAATATTAATATGTGTAGTGTCAAATACATTTGGTGATTTAGACTTTTTCTTCTTCTTGCTGGCAACTGACATCAACCCTCTTTGGAAATGGTTGTTTAAACTAATTGAAGAATTTAAAAGGTTGTTAAATGTTTGTAATACTTTGATTGAACTCAGTTTCATTAATATTTTACAGTTGGAACAAAAAATCTAATTATATTAAATCTTTATACATCTCAAGATTTACTATAGTCCGGCTAAATAAGACCAAAAATTACGAGTGAGGTTTAGGAAAAAGTCACAAACACTTTTGTAGATAATCTGATCTACAATTTTTGTCTAGGCTGATTTTATGATAAAACTTGACATTTTATAAGTCGTTTTTGTAACCTTTGACCCCTAATAACTTCTTTAACGGATCTCTAGGCACTTTATACATATCGTTTATTTTACTTTCAGCTAGATACGAATCTTGGTAACCTCACTCCAATTTCTAGTCTAATATGACGGAACTACTATTAATATTTTCATGATACCAATTATCATTATCATGACAGGCTATGATGCAAGGCGGCGGCGCGTACGCCTCGGGTCGCGGCATGTACGAATACGAATCAGGGTCGCGCAGTAAAGAAAAACACTCAGAAAAGAAAACAGCCGTCCCTATCTGTCTACCGTTGTGCTGCGCTATGCCTTGTGTTATTATGTGAAAAACATACATATACAACTATAAAAATATATAAAATGAATAATTATTATGAATTTTTTCTTATAATAAAACAGGTCTATATAATATTCTGAAACTTTTGATATCATGTAACATTAAAATTTATGTGGATCACAAATGCATTTCTAATTTAACTTTTTTTGTACTGGCAATATTTTTAATACTGACATTTTCGTCAAATGGCAATACTGATTCCATATATGTTTTATTGTCAACGTCAAAATGAAGTAAGTTTATATATTACAATTTAGTTTTCTAAAATGTTTTCTTATAACAAATATTACGGTATATATTTGTAATTAATGTTTTGTGTACATTTAATGTTATTAAAATAATACATACAAAAAATTAAAATTCTCTAACTGAATATAAATGTTGAATTTGTTTTAATTTCTTACATAACAATGTATAAAGTAATAAGTATCGCTCACTAACAGCTACTGTGCCATTCATGAATGTTAAACATCCTCGGTGTCTTGTGAACGTGTATAAATGAAATATTTTTTAATAATTAATAAAATTTTAATTACTATATCGTATTTTTATTTTATAAGCCAACTATAGTATAAATACATAAAAATAATATATGACGTACAAGAAAATTTTATAATTGAGATATTATTTAATAAACAAGGTGATAGTTTGGAATAAGTTAATTTGGGTTTGCACGTAGCAGGGGCAAACTGTATAACATTGAAAAATTTTAGTGAATATGGAATATGCAAGTTTTTCCAAGTAACAGACGCTGAGCTTCATATAATATCTTGTAAACTTACATTGAAAGGAAGTGTTAAGTTATTCATCGTGAAACTGTATGTATTTTCGTGGACCCCCGCTTAGGAATTATGACCCGTATATTTTTGTTGTGACAACTTACAGTGAACTCAAATATTTTGTGAACCGCGGGAGGTCCATGTAGACAATTTTAGTTTAAATACAATGGTCTAAGATCCCGATATAAGGCGACCTTCACCGAGATGTTTATTTGATGAAACATATTTTATATTCAATTTAATATGTCAATAAGTATATTACATATGGGTTGCCTCATAAATTTTAGTCCAGGATATGATTAATTAACAATTAAAAATAGTTTTTTTTCAATTATTTCACCGGTTTGTTTATTAGATAAATTCCACACCAATCGAAAGTACGGAGCCCATAGAATATGAAAACGTTAGGTTGCCTATTCTTTTCCAGTCATAACTCTCGGGTTGCCAGGGATAAACAGGTACATCGATAGTAGCATTTTGCACCGGTCTGTTAATTTAATCAAATTTAAATGAAAATAAAGATTATTTAATTATGAACACGGTGAAATAGGGTTGCCTGCGAAAAATCGGTCCTAAATTAGAGTTGTCGAATTTTAAAAATTAAAATATTGCCGCGAGTGAATATGTACGACTGAGAGGTCCCAAGCAACTGTTCCGTGCGTTAGAAGAGGACAGAGCATAACAGCTGCGTAAGGTCTTCCCATTTAAAGAAAGAGAGTGTGTATGCTATTTGTCAGTGCAACTGACAAGGATAGCGATAGACGTGTATATGCTGAGTATCATTTTGGAGTAATGTATTATTATTATATTAAAAATAGAAGAATAGTTCTTTAATATTATTTTAATTAATTATTTATGTGTATATAATATATACACTACCGACAAAAAGTTTGGAAGCACCTGTACTTTTTAGTAAAAAGATATAGCACATGAAATTTAACTAATTTTATCTATGTTATAATATTACATTATGTTATTTTAAATTATTTTACTGCATTTAAAATAATCGTAGTGCTCTTCTTAAATATTTTTTTGTAAAAATAACAAAAACAAAATTTTCACTATAAATTTGTAAAATTTACTGAGTAACATTTAATTATGTTTTTTGCGTCGTGGTTTACAGTAGGTAGTCGCTATTTATTTTAAAGTGTGTTAAGGACCGTGGTTAATTATTTCTAGGCAGTTTAATAGAATTTTTGCTATTTTAACCGCTCTTTTTTAAAAACACCAATAAAATCTGTATTTTGTGTATAAAATGGGAAAAAGAAAACAGATACCAATTGAAACACGTTCGGCTATTATCGTTTTAAGTAATGAAGGCTATTCGGAAAAAGATATTGCAAAAAAAACTCGGTATATCAGCTAAAGATGTTCATTATACACTTGCGAGACACCGTGAAACTGGCAGTTTGAGGGATAGAAAACGGAGTGGAAGATCAAAAGTTACTTCTGCAGCAGACGATAGGTTCATAGTAACAACTTCAAAGCGTAATCGTCGACTTACAGCACCGGAAATTACTCGGGAGTTGAATAAAACGCGAGTGAAAAAAGTATCACTTTCTACTGTGAAGAATCAAATTTCAACTGCAGGTCTTCATGGTTGTGTGGCAGTAAAAAAACATTACTATGAGCAATACATAAGAATAAACGACTGCAATGGGCAAAACAGCATGAATATTGGACAGTGGAACAATGGAAAACCGTACTATGGACGGATGAATCAAAATTTCAAATTTTTGGGTCTAACAGACGAGTCTTTGTGCGCCGCAAATCCCATGAAAGAGTATCTGAAGACTATTTAGTATCATCGGTAAAACACGGTCGTGGCAACGTACTAGTCTGCGGCTGTTTTGCTGGAACTGTTGTCAGAGATCTTGTTAAAATTGATGGGATCATGAGGAAAGAGCAGTATTTGCAAATATTAAAAGATCATGCTGTGCAGACAGGATCACGTATTGTAGGTGAACCATTCGTGTTTCAACAAGATATTGATCCCAAACATTCAGCAAGAGTATGCAAAACCTTTTTAGAAGAACAGGAATCGAGAGGTATTCTTGAATTAATGGTGTGGCCCCCGCAATCACCAGACCTATCCCCTATTGAAAAATAATGGGATGAATTGGATCGAAAAGCTAAAGAATGTTTGCCACAGAGCGCCAGAGAGCTGTGGCAATATCTACAAGAAGCTTGGAAAGAAATTAGCGCCGAATACTTAAATAAATTACTAGAGAGAATGCCTAGAATCTGCCAAGCTGTTATAAAGCAAAGTGTGGTCATATCGACAAAACTAAATTATAAATTAATTTTGTGATTAATAAATAAGAATTTGATTTTATTTTGTAGTTTAGCTGCTGTTTTATCAAGTACCTAATAATTCTCAATTAAATAATACATAAATCTCGGCTTATTTCTAAAATAGTTAGGAGTATTTGAAGTGCTTCCAAACTTTTTGTCGGTATTATATATTTAATGTGTCATTAAAGTATATATACAGGGTGACTGGTGAATTACTATCGATATTTGAGGACGTGATATTTGACGATCATATATGACAAAATAAAAATTAATATAACATAAATATTAATAAACTTCTAAGTAAAGTTGACCAAAAGTTATGTAATTAATTACGCATCGTGTGAACACCCCACAGATTAGGTATACACACACACTCACACATACGCGTGCTCGGCGTGGTGTTGTATCAGCACGCCGCCGCACGCGACCACACTTGGAACACTTGGAACGTGTCAACACTTTATTTATTTATACGGAAATTTTGTCAAAAATGAAGTACCTATTTTTTTTTACATAATTCGAATGAAAATCATGTACCGAGTATTCTCCTTAAATATTGATAGTAATTCACCAGTCACCCTGTATATACATATATAGTAAATAAGAAGGTTATAACAATACATATGTAATACTAATTTAGAGTAATTTTTTTTATTCGAAAAAAAATGAAAAAAAATGAAAATTCTTTAAATGGGAAGACCTTACGCAGCTGTTATGCTCTGTCCTCTTCTAACGCACGGAACAGTTGCTTGGGACCTCTCAGTCGTACATATTCACTCGCGGCAATATTTTACTTTTTAAAATTCGACAACCCTAATTTAGGACCGATTTTTCGCAGGCAACCCTATTTCACCGTGTTCATAATTAAATAATCTTTATTTTCATTTAAATTTGATTAAATTAACAGACCGGTGCAAAATGCTACTATCGATGTACCTGTTTATCCCTGGCAACCCGAGAGTTATGACTGGAAAAGAATAGGCAACCTAACGTTTTCATATTCTATGGGCTCCGTACTTCCGATTGGTGTGGAATTTATCTAATAAACAAACCGGTGAAATATTTGAAAAAAAATCTATTTTTAATTGTTAATTAATCATATCCTGGACTAAAATTTATGAGGCAACCCATAGGGGAGAGTCGGATATATCGTACCACTTTTCACTGTAACTCAAATATTTAGACTATAACACGTCTTATAATAATTAATACATATGTAAAATAAAGTTTCATATTTTGGCTTCCTAAGAAGAAAAGAACAGATCCTTGCGATTATTCTAACATTGTTAAAAATGCTTTTTTATAGAGGCTTGCCATCGGTACGATTTAGCCGACTCGTCGTTTTAATCGTACCACTAAGTCTTTAAATCGTATCATGGGTGTTTAAGTCGTACCACTGAATGAAAAACATTAAAATTCTCAATCAAATTATTTATTTTTAACTGTTAGGTAAGTAATAAAACAACATTATTTATATCTTTTAGGTAATAGAAACATAATTTTTAACTCTTAGGTTATATAAAGGAACTATAAGCTTTCTCAGTAGAATAATGTAATTATACTTTGATAATGAGATCAATCAACATAACTAAAAAAAATGAGACAAAAAAAAACAGTAAACTATAATAATAAAGTAACTGTTAACAAGAATGTTATTTGTAATATAGGTAACTATTGTGCATATTTCTTAATGGAAGCAATCATGACAAATGTCTGGATTCGAAGTACACGTCTCATGTAGCCACCGTTTACAGCGAACGCATTGAATTCAATCAACTTTTGGACCCTTCTTATCGTAGTAAGAACAATTGCACTTTCGACATATATTTTCAAGATAATCATCGCTGTCATCATCATCATCTAGTTCTACAACAAGTGTCTTTCCTGAATCATCGCTACTGGTGATGGAATGAGA